AGAATAGAATAGAATAGAATAGAACAGAATAGAACAGAATAGAAGAGTTGGAAGGATCATAGATCATAGAATAACAGAGATGGAATGGACCTTGGAGGTCTTCTAGTCCCACCCCCTACTTAGGCAGGAAACCCTATATACCATTTCAGACCAATGGTTGTCCAATCTCTTCTTTAAAACTTCCAGTGTCGGAGAATTCACAACTTCTGGAGGCAAGTTGTTCCACTGATTAATTGTCAGAAAATTAATTGTTCTAACTGTCACAATCACTAGGCATGTCTCTAATATGGGGGAGGTAAAGCAATCTGAGGTTCAGGAGCAGAAAAGTCATAATTAAGGTGCAGTTTTAAAATATACTCACACATGGACTAGGTTGGTTAAGTGATCATGAATTTGCAGGGACTATATGGCTATGCTAAGCTAATACCTTTTTTAAAGTCAATGTATTCATGTGAGGACAACTGAAGAAATTATCCCTTGACACTGAAATTCAGAGAGAGAGAATGGGGGGGAGAGGGAGGGAGAGAATATCTCAATTGATCTTCTTAAAAATGTATTTATGAAATGCAAGGGCATTTTATCAACTATCAAATTATTGCAAAGGTTAAAGAGAGAGCTATCCCAGATTGGAAATTCCCTTAATGTCCCTAGTCAGTAATATTTTCATATTACTCTCACTGTCAATAAACTGCAATGGGTTACAGTTCTGAAAAGTAAATATTTAGTACTAAAACCGCTCAAACTTACAAATACTAACTAAGCACTAATGTATTAATATTATTAAGCTCCAAGTGTTTAAATTGTTTTCTCTTCTGTTGTATTAAGATTACAACTTCAGTCCGGTACAGTCCGGAGGGGCCAAGACTTTGAAGCCAGCTAAATGTGGCTCGAGTCCCAATTTTTTCACCATTTGGATAACAACCTGGATATGTTGGGAATGAGGATCAGTTAGAGAAGGCTTTAGATTTATGAGCTCAGAGCTGCAACAATGTTAGTCTGACGGCTAATCCATTTTAGGGTGTTTGATCCAGTAGCGCACAGAGGCACTAGGAAAATAGAAGTGGACAGAACCACCTGTCCCACATACAGAATTGTCTATGGAGATTCTCAAGGTCACTGTTGTCTCAAAAGTGCTTTTCCAAAAGGCAGCTGTACTCAAAAACATTTCACTTCTCATCCAAAGAAGCACTTTTTCAGTGCTGAAGAAGTTTCTTGGATAAGAAGTGAAACATTTTTAAGGAGAAAAAAACCCCAAGAAATTCCAGCTATCTTTTGGAAAAGATACTTTCGGATACATGGAAAATTAAACCAAGGCAGGTGCCTAGTCATATGAGCCACCACAAACTGTTTTATGGTGCTTATATCCCATCCTTCATCCACACCTTGGCATTTGTTAGCATAGTGCCCTCCCCCCCCCCCCCCCAAAAAAGCAAATAACCAATTTCTCAAAAATTTTGAAGATTGGCTTCAGACGGTCATGCACAACAGAGCGTATTCAAAGTAACAGTGGGAGCACATCAGGCCCCCCCAGTCTGTCAAGATTATATTGATGTCTGTACAAGAAAAACTATTCCATGGAACAGCCATCTCTTGTCTGAATGGAAGTATGGGTCTTGTGAATCAAATCAATTTATGTGAATTCTACAGAAAGAAAAGCGCATTCTGATCCCAGCCATGAAAATAAGTTATGCAGCTCAGCAACTAGCTTGCAAAATTCCTATTTCAGAGCAAACAAAAATAATCATTATAATAATGAGCATTGATTCTTGGCTTCTAACTTAAGCTGGAGATGCCAAGGATCCGAGAACATACCTGGGCCATTTCCTTTTTCTCAAAGTCTTCAAGCTGTTGCTGGAAGCCCATATTTGGACTGGCATATGATCTCGACACTCGGACAATAGACAGTGCATCCTCCCAGCCAAAATCGGTGATAGTCATTATATAGGCCACAACCAAGGTTGCACTCCTGGAAACACCAGCGAGACTGCATCACCATGCCAATACAAGTGAAAAGAGATGCAAAGGGAAAATATGTAGTAAACTGAAGATCATTGCTGGATAGAAAAGGGAAGCATGATAAACTTTGCAGGAGAATAAACAAGCTAATATGAGATATGAATGAACTAATGTTGAAAAGAAACTATAGTTCAGTGACAGAGCACATGCTTTGCATGCAGAACATCCCATATTTAATCCTTGGCAATTCCAGGTAAGGCTGGAAAAACTCTGCTCTAAAATTGTGGACGGCAGCTGTCAGTCAACACCACCAACCGACTCAATACAAAGCAGGCTCTGAAAGCTCAGTGTTTACGTTAGGAAAATTTAAAAGAGAGAAACCCAACAAAACATCTCAACTTTATGAATTTAATTGACACAGACTCCAAGAATTCTTACCATGATATAGATTCCTGCTTCAGTCCTTAAAAAAATATAATTCTCCAAGTTCTTTGGTGGGAGAAAGACGGAGTTATATCCCATAATAAGGAAGACTGACTTTGGGAGATACTTAGCCAAGTTTTACTTTTTTCTAGGTTTTTTTTTTGTATAAAAGACAATCTGCAGGGAGAGTAATGCTACTACATCCAGCAGTGTCACAAAACAGAAATGCAACAGCTTCAAATGGAAATCAGTGTATTACAGCTAGTCCTCGACTTATAACAGTTTATATAGTGAGCATTTGAAATTAGAACCGCACTGAAAAAAGTGACTTATGACCAGGGGTGGGATCCGACCGGTGTAACTACCAGTTCAATGATTTACGATTTGCGCACGCATGCCTCTTGTTAAGTACATACCAGTGGACAAGACAGCCTTCACCTCTAAGCCGACACTCATGGATAAAAACAATGCTTTCTTTAAAATGTCTTGCTCTAGAAAAAGAAGAAAAAAGAAGAAAGTTTACTAGTAGAATTCAAGAAGTTAAGAGCGATTTGGGTTGGGACAAGTTTGGTGCAACAGTGAACAGTGAACAGTAAACAGCGAACTGACTTGGATGGATTTAAAAAGATATTGCAATGAATGTGTGAGTGTAAGTTTCTTGGACGTGCAAGTTTGATAGAACCCTATCCAAGATATTTCATTAGTATTGGGTTGCCAATATCACAGTTTTCTACACTTAAACTAAATGTTCTAGTACTCCATCTGCGTTTTAGACAAACAGTTAAAACTGCCAAATTAGATCTCTCTCTTACATAAACTGCAATATAAATAGAAAATATACATAATAGATCCCCATAAAATGTAAATGTCTTATACATACATTCCCGAATAAAGCAAGCCCTATAATCAAAATCCATTCTGAAATAAATTCTGAAAAAGCACTACACAGTATGATATTCAACTCTCTAATCCCAAACAAAATTTAGGAAAGCTGTTCTAGTAATTTCTAAGTATTATGAACCCATCCTTAACACAGACATCAGAGCTTTTAATGGACTGCTGGGCGGGGAAGAAGAAAGGAAGAGAGAGGAAAAATGGGGTTTCACTCAAATACCACTCAGCTCTGGCCGCTCTCACAATCAGCAGTATCACATGGAATGTGACCCTCAAAAAGAAAAAATTTCCCCTCCTCTACATAACCAAGTATATTGAGATTGGCCTTAAATTCAACTCAACTGGTTTGGGCATCTTTCAATTCAATTACATAATTAAAGTAACAGCCAATGTACACGTCACAGTTAGTCACTGCCAATCAATCAAGGATGCCACAAAGAGTATAATTCAATAATTTAAAACATATTCTAAGAAATTAAGATCTTTTGGTACAAGTTTGAGCTCTTTAGAATATTAAATCTAGCTATAAACTCACTGAGTAGACTTAGATAGACAACTACCTCAGCTGCTATCTGTAATAAAAGGAATGTAAGTACTAGTGTATGAGGCCCGTAGGGATTATTGGAGTGATAATTAAATCAGCTCCATGCTTATCGCTTCACTAAGGTACAGTTTTCCCTGTTCTTGTTTAAAACACAAGTGGGGGACATTTTCTTTCCCCCTTCTCTTAGTCTGGAATAAAAATTTTCACTAATAGCAGGAAACTTCTCAGCCTTGCTTTCAGAGGGAAAGTTTCTATGAAGGCTGGAGCATGCAACATATGAAAAAAGAATTCTATGCAGGGTGTATGGGTGGGTTTTTTCCCCTGGATATAGGATTCCCACATGCCTGCCTTTGGGGAAAGCTTAAAAAAACCCTTCGAACTAATTCAAATCAAGCAATTCAGGACGACAAATCGTAAGCAAGACCCATTAAGGGAACACATCACAATCTGAGTGAAATCTTTCAGTACTGTCCACCGAGAAATAGAACTGATGTCATAAAATCATTTCAAAACTGCCTGTTTTCAAGACAACAAATCAGCTATGGTTTATTTGTTTGTTTAAAATACTTCTGAAGGTAAGGCTTCAGTGACTCTATCTGGATGCTCTTCAAGAAGGACACAATTCATTTATCCTTCAAATAAACAAACTAAGTTTTTTTTCCCTTAGTTAATAAGTGGCCCAAACTGAATTCCACTGCTTTGGAAAAAGGGCTAAGAATAAAAGCTGACTTCCCCACTGGAACAACTAAAGCACATCAATCCAACTCCATCCCAAGCAGCTGCTTTAGAAGGATATCGTGGATGATGGTATTAAAACCTGCTGACAGGAGAATAAACAATGCTGCATATCCTTCATCCTTCTATTGGCCTAAGGCAACTAAAAGAAATTCAGAGCCAAACTGAAATGGATTTATATCCTCAATGTCATTCAAGGGTGTGTAAACTCCTGTATTTGCTTGAGTACCTTCCCTACAAAATGCAGATAATGGTTGATAGAATCATCAATCTTCATTAAAAGTTTCATTTTTTTGCATGACATAACAGTGGGCAAAATTGTAACTAAATAATTGAGAGGCCAGGAGTCAACATTTCTTCTGTGTAAACTACAAAACCAGGATCATGAAGTAAAGTACAATTATTTTGAACAGATTTTCATTTAGAAGATGGATCTGAACCTGGTCCATTCCACTTCAAGGCATCTATGGAGCTTCAGATCCAAAATATTTCTGTAAAGGTTTCTTATAACAAATGGAAAGCACAGCTGTATATAAATACAAAATATGTTTTGTTGTATATAAAAAACACCATGATGGAGAAGTGGGTCTATAAAGATTAAATGACAAAAGGACTTGGCTACAATCTGACTAGACTCTTGTAATTGGGTTGCTGCTGATTGTCCTGGACACAGAACTGGGTGGATGGAGAAATTACATAGGAATAAAACCATCCCCACCGTTCCTATTCTTCTCATGTTTGAAAAGGATCTTCCTTTTTTTCTGATACTCTTTTCAGATCTGGGATACCAAGTCAGGTTGAACTTCACCTGGAACAACCAAGGAGACCATAATAGGCCATTTACGGAAGTCTAGATCAGGTTCCTGAAGCAGATCAGGTGATCTCCAGAATCCTTTAGAATAAAGTTTACATAACTTGTTTCTCAATTTCATCAACCTTATAGAGAATCTTTTCTGTAAAGAGCACTGATTTGAAATTCCCTCTTGAGGAAGGCTAATTTGGCCCTTTTGTTATTTCACTTCAGACAGCTTATGACAAACCTAGCATCGCTAATAAAGGTTAGCATTTCAACTATTTTAAATGCACCTAAGTTCTCACTTTTAAATTACTCCCCTCCTATTTCTCCTATCCATTTAGCACACTATTTGTAAAGCTGGGGAGAGAATGGAGGAATTAACAATTTAATTTAAATATCAAGACTTCTTTGGTCCAAAAGCTAACTAAATATCTTTTAGGGATGAATCACTGACCAACCTTTATCAGAGGTGAAATACAGTTGCTTTGGGTACCTGATGAAATCAGAAGGCAATATTATAATCCTGACCTCCCTTGAAAATTAACAGTAAAGGGGAAAATCCAGCAAGTCCTGCCAGCCAATGGCTATTAAGTCCCAGAAATCATTGCCCAATACATTTGAAGAACAGAAAAAAGGAGAAGGCCGTGGCATGCCTTACACTTACTGCTTTTACGTAAGAATAAGAGTAGAATTCTTTATTGGCCAAGTATGGTGGGGCACATAAAGAATTTGTCTCCAATGCATAAGTCTCAGTGTACATACAAACAACAAAGTGATAAGTCATAGATCCTAAATCGTACAATACATTCATAAATTATATGATATAAACAGCAATTGATAAATCATAATATACCAATAGGAGAAGGTAGTAGGGAAGATGAGAGGTGAGACAGATGAGAAGAGGACTCTGGTTTTGGATTTAACCACTGACCCCTATGGAAAGAGTAAAAACGCTTCTCATACGGCAATATTGGGATCATCTTGAAAAGCTGATGCAGAGGACAGTGTATTATGAAACAGCCCTTGGGAAAAGATTGGCAAAAACATAAGTCCTGCTCGTATCCAGTGAGCTGAAACCATCAACTCACGCATTTGCAACTGGGAACTCACTGTTCTATGAGAGAAGCAAATATGCTAAAAATATATCTCGAAAGCATCGGGTGAAAGAGGCAGCACTCTGTTCGGAGCGAAAAAGCAGCACTCCGTTTCCTTCCGTGGGCTCCAGGCAGGCCCTTTGAAACTACTTTTGTTTCTCTACAACGCAAGATTATCAGGAAGTGCCTCTCCCCTCCCACTTTTTCCTCTCCTTTACCTCTTGTCAGTACAAACAGTGAAGGCTACCCCAAAGCCCAGCTGCAGCTCGAATATCCTGGGAGAGCTTGTATCACTCCACTTTAGTTGCAAGTCTGAGCAGCTCTGCCCTGAAGTAAAAAAAAGGCCTTTTGAGACTAGGCCCAGCTCATCTGTGATTCAGCAAAAACGTGCACACCAAAGAGCCAAGTACTATGGTTGTTTCAGGCATTTAAATAGTCCGCAAAAGGCTACGCAGGTTCAAAAAGAAAGGGAGATCTTTGAACATTTGAGGGACTCTCCTCAAATTCTGCTAGGTCATTACTCTGGGTAGAATAAATGTTTCCATCACCCATAATCTCTATTTCCTATTCATCTAATCCAAGAGTCTTCAAACTTGGCAAGTTTAAGACTTGTGGACTTCAACTCCCAGAATTCCTGAGGTAACATGACTGGAGGAGGAATTCTGGGAGTTGAAGTCCGATCTAATCAGACACGTAACCAGAAAGTATAAGGCGGCTTCTTTTTAACGACCAAAACACCAACACCAATGTAGTAAACTTCATTAATATAAAAGTTTTTCAGTGTATCTGTTTGAAAGTATTTTTCCCCATAAATAAACATAGGAAAGATTCATAGCTATTTTTGTTCTTAGCTTTCCTTAATACAGAGAGACCACTACCCAGTAGACAGGGTTTTCTAATATATGCAGCTTTTAGCATCAATTAATCAAAAAACCATTTTATGAAAGGTTTCACCTTTTCCTTGATGTCCTCTTTTGTTATGTTATGTTAATGCTTTAGTTGTTGGCTTTTTAAACGTCCTTTTGAAAAAGTTTACTTCAGAGAAATTTAACTACTTCTTTGTTTATGCAACTTTCAAGAACACAGCTTTCTTTTTCAGACTGATCTTTCACAAACCATTAGGGTGCTGTGTGCAGGTTGTTTTCCCTTCTTCCTAACCAAAGCCAGATGCTAGTAGACTCAATTCAGTACTGCTATTACTAATGTGATCCTATAGATTTCCGCTCATGAAATCTGGAACCGATTTCTTTTATAGTTATAACAACTATGTACCAAATGAAATGTTACAACAGAGATAGGGACGGAGATATTCACTGTGATGTTTTCCCAAACACCTGTATCCACATTATAGCAGAAAGACGAGTTGTTGTTTCCAAAACATGAAGAAGTCAAGGAACTGGATATATTTGCAAATCCAAACAGATATATTTTGCTTCCATTAAATGATACTCGACTCTTATCTAGATAATAGTGGTGAAATTGAGCACTGCTTTAAATACTCACAGATTCTGCGTGGGAGAATCTGCAGCAGGGATACACAGATATTTTATTCCCTGTAAAAAAAAGGAAAAAGGAAAATTGTGGTATAACAAATTCAATGACAGGGACTTGTTTTTCTTCTGGGTGGTGCCCAGAAAGCATTTTAAGATTAAAGTTCATCAACCAGTTTTTATGCAGCCTGAATTTTTGCTGGAATGCAAACAGTCAGCATTTTTCACATTTTAATGTATCTTTTTAATTCTAATGCTATAAATTAGCAACTCTTTAACATGCATTTCTTCCTTTCTTACATGAATGTGGAAAATAAAATGCATGTGTCCTTTGGGGAAGAGGGTTATTTTTAGTGCTATGTATAATTGTTTTTCATTATTTTTTTTAAAAAATCAAACAGAAGTCTAGCATGGGCTTTTGAAAACAGACACTTTCCTTTTTGAAGATTATTACAGTACCGGTACTACTGTATCCTAAAGTCTTAATCGTTTGTAATAAGCTGCATTCACTTTTTTGGGTCAGTCCTTACCAAAAACTGTATGTAAAACAGAAGGAATGAAAAGTGAAAAACCATGTAAGAATTGTCTTGCTGGATTCAATCAACATCGTCAAACTCTTTGATGCTTTCTCTATGTAAAAAAGAACCAAGGGCTGAAAGTCAGTGCAGTCATAGATCATCCTGCCTGTCAACATTCATATATGAAAGATCTCATTACATATAAATCTTCTCAAAGGATACACCCTTGACTTGGCAAATTCCCACCTCCATAAGAGCTACAAGAATAATATTAAACTCTTCCAACTACTTGTGCCTCATCACTGGCAGCTATGCGAGACAGTGTTGTATGTAGAACCAGTCATGCAGTTCTCTGGATTGCTAATCCTACAAACCATAGTTAAAATTTCTTACTTTCATTTATTTCATTTACTTCCATAACTGCAGCCAATTTTTGAAACTTCAAAATCTCTTTAAAACAATTGATACTTGCTATTGGATTGGTGGATTGAAAGCTACCTTGTACATATGGATTTTCCCCCCCTAGAGATTCATATTATCATCCTTCCTACTTATGGGGATAGGAGAAAGGGCTGAAATGGGGAAGTGCAGTGCATAAACTTTGTTGGAAAACCATCATCTTCACATTATTCCCCCAATTAAGTATTAAGCAGGAGCCAAGACAAAATCTAGAAGGCATCTGGGCAGCCATACTTCAAAAAGCAAATGTGTCCAAGGTGAAATCTAAATGTGATTTAATTGATTAAAAACAATTTTGTTTATTCCCCCTACACTGAATAATTTTTCCCTTTCTGTCTTATTAAAAATTACAATTCAACTGCAACCTTTGGAAAGAACTCGGGATACTCGAAGCATTGGTGGGCTGTATACTGTACACTCATTAGAGAAATATTCCCCTCACTTACTAGCAAGTTAAAAGCTACTTTGCCAACTTTTTACATATTACTAGTCCAGTTTTAATATAGTCCATTTGGTACATGTCTCCTTGCCCCACAATATCCTTTGAGATGTACTGATTTCTACTCCTGTCTTTATCAGTTCACTAACACAATGAACCTATTTCATGTAGTCTGCTCCTATACTCAGAGACCCTTTAAGAAAAACCATTGTGGAAATCCTACTTTTGCTACTCTAAAAAAATCCTTAAATTCAGCTTCCACAACCATGGAAATACCCTAACCCTAACCCTAACCCTATTTCACACAAATTTCTATGACAAACATCAAGTAGGCCTCTTGATCTATTTTAGCTCAATTGTTATCTGTTTTATTGGAGACAAATCTGGCATTTGTAGCATCCTGTGGTTGTTCGATATTCCTCCCAGATAATTTCAATAAGTAGAAGGGAACCATTTTGATTTCATGAAGGCCACCTTACCAGCAACATCAGGGAATAAGCCAAGAGGGCACAAAAAAGGAAAAACTTTCATTTGCAAATGAGTGTAAATAATTAGTCTCCATAATTTGGAAAAGCTCACTACATTTCCAGAATAATGTTCTACTCTTAAGTGAAAGAGAAACCAGTGTGGCATCATTGTTAATGGAGACTCATATTTGAGTCCATCCTTGGCCATGGAAGTTCATTGGAGCCTCTGGACCAATAGAGCCCAGAAGATTGTTGTTGGAAAAATGGGAAATAAAAATGCTATGCATGACAGGTTTACTGTTCCAAAACCTTAAAAAGTTCCTCTCTCTAATTTTTTTCTTTATTTCGATTCCCCTAGCATAAACAATTGCAGAACGAATCAAGTTGGTACATAAAATGAATTTAAAATGTATTTCTCTCCCAGTTTCAATTCTAAGTTAGAGTAATCCCACATCCAATCGTTCGTGTTAACTAGAAACACACGCACTCAAAAAATGTATACATATTGTCTTCCATGCAGTTCTGCTAGTCATATTTTTTGCCAGAAGATACTATTCTGCCTGGTACCACCTGATTCAATAGCACCTTTGCAGCATGTGGATGTGTCCAGAAATGAATGGAAAAAAGATTACAAATGATTTTCTCCTTTGACTAACCATTGGAAATCAGAATATAGGTAATACGTAATAGTGTAGATATTCTGGCAAGTGGCAGCAAACAGCCCTGTAAGCATGCAAAACCATCAAGCAGAAGTACTTTCACACTCATTCTCTTCTGGCAGCACCTGTGAGTAGGAATTTCATGAAATGGCAATGGAGCACATCCTACAAATGAGTACACCAGAGAATCTGTTACATCATAATGTTGGAATCATACCCAGAGCGTAGAAAACAACATGTAACTAAACACTGTTTCTGGCAAAAGCCAGATTCTAAATCCATTCCTCCAAATTCCAATGCATCTGAATATGCTTGACAGAATGGGAAGCCAATAAATTCATTTTCCTCTCAGTTTTCTATTTCATGAGAGAAAAGTTAACCACAAGCATAAAACTTTTATTTCTCTTAGGCCCTGAAAGTCAAGAAAACAGTTAAACCGATACAAAGGGAGAGTTAACAAAACTAGCGCAAGTCTTCTGATTTCAAGATTTGCTTCTTTCAACTTTGGCAATCGGTTCAGCCAAATTTCTAACATTTGTACTCACTGACAACAAAATGGTACACATCAATAGACCTTGGTGAACTATTTGAGGAAAATTTTCTCAAAACTTCTGTATTGGAAACAATATACTTAATTATTCGTATGTTCAAGAATTTCAGATTACACAAATAGTATATCCAAATATACACTTTATTTAGAATATAACAATGACAATATTTTAATCTAGGCAATTTATAGTTCACAGGAATTATATTTAATGGATTTTTAATCACAAATTATAGATGTAAAACCAAGTTACTTATTAAGATTAATATGTATATTTTGTTAAATATAAAAAAACATTTTATTTTACTTTGTTAAGGCTTATAGATCTATGGAAGATGCAATTCCACTTTTGCTACCACAGAATCACCATTCTTTTCTACAGTTAATCTTGTTTTAATCTGTTTTATTTTAAATCTCTTAGTTTTTAGTTGCAACCTGAGTGTAAATTCTACTTAACAGAACGGATAAACTGTATCACTATATCACTTTATTTCTAAAAGGAGAACTTGAAAAAGGAAAATCTAAATGTCAAAAATATGAGATCATAACATCATTCATTCGTTTTATATGGTTCAAAGAATGCCTAGAAATAACTATTGTTGTGCCTAATCTGTTAAAAAATGAAGTCAGTAGGAAATCTTTTGCTTTCAAACAATCACAGATGCAGCAAACAAGTCACATTAAAAACCTTCAATAATTTGTTTCATGAGATTTGTTTTTAGTTGACAAAGTGTACTGCTGGATTACATACAATTAATAATCCACATGCTGCAAATATGGCCATCGAATTTTAAGCACATTCTGTTAAAGACATTTTCTATGATTGTGTTTAGAATTGGAAAAATACATTCTTTTGAATGAGACAACCAATTTATAGGAACCTGGATGTCCATTTTGCAAATTCTCTTAAAATACTACAATAACTTTACATTTCAGTTCCCTATCCATTTACAGATCAACGAATCACTACTTGTTTTTTTTTTAATTTAAAAGATAATAAAGCAATCTTTTAAACTGTCTGAACCTCAGCACAAATTTCTAGACCGAAATAAAAAAGGAGCAGCGGGAGGAAGGGGGAGAGGGAGAATTAAGCATTACATTATTTTTGGCATTGCACTTCTCGGTATTAAAATTTATGTAAATTTTTCAACGATGACTTCCAAGAAATATTTTTAACAGCCAAAAACAAAACTTCAGGGTACCTAATTGTGAAGCCAGATGCAAATAAGAAGCCTCAAACACCTGGCAAAGTTCTTTCAGGTTAGCCCAAAAAGCCCCCTATGTTATTTTGACATGCCACATCAACAGATGAGGAATGGATACTCTTCTTTCATGAGGGACATTTTGTCAGAAACGGCCTAAGTAGGAAGCAGTTGGTTTCTCATGGTTTTCTCAAAACTAAAACAACAAGAGGTTACTAAGAGTTCTGGCCAGTGCAACTTAAGGACCAAATAGGGCAGGTGGGGGAAGAGTAATTTTGTTCCTTTGTCCTTTCACAGTTGCTTTAAAGGGCAGTCACCCAGGGTAGAACTTGAGACTCTTGACTCATTTTATTATTGAAAATATTCAAAGATTCCAGCAATAAGTGAAGCCAATGGACTGTTACTTCACCACCGAAGATAAGCATCTTACTATATGAAGAAAACAGATTGTTAGACACACAAACACACACATACACACACCATGGAGGGTTGAGGATTATGCAATATGTTACAGCTCTGAATATATCACAAAGTTTGTTTGATCTTGACATTAGTGAAAGAATTGCTGAATCATACTCTTTGGGGGTGCATTTGCTTTTAAAAATTAAATGAATCTCTCTCTCCAGTTTAAATTACATTGAAATTCCTATCAAGGCCATATGATATCATTGGAATATTATACCAAAGTAACTAGAAAGCCAAAGACTCAAAGCCATTTCAGAAAAAAAGTGTTCACATCATTGAAACTTAATACTTCTCCAAAAAGATCAACAACAGACTTGCCCCTCCCTGGAGATCAGTAGACTTCTCCTAGTTATCAATAACTTATTTTCAGATGTTGATTTTGTTGGACTCCTTTGGGACAAAATAGATGGAAGAACTACTTTTAGTTTTGGGAACAGGATTAAAAATCAAACGGGCTTGCTAATATGGAAGGGACATATCAAAGAGTTTTGATGAAAACATGGAAACATTTAGGCGTTAAATGCTTATGATATATTATTTATGAATCTGCAGACTGTAAATTTGTGTTGGCAAAATAGTAACTATGGTTCAGGTTCTGGTGACAATTACAGCAATATTTCTCATAAGGCTATGGTTATGAAGTTTTACGCTATATGTAAAAGTTCCTTTATTGATATTAAGAATATTAAGGACAATCTAAATGAACCTGTTAGGACAGCTACACTTCCCCCACCCCTTGGTAAGATAAGAGAAGATAAATATTTCATCTTAAATATTTAAGATGGAAAAAGTCCTTACATTTTAACTTCAATTCTTGTGTGTTTTAAACAGAAGTAAGCAAAATGCAACTTGATCACGGATGTTTAAGAAAAGCCAGTGAAATTTTCTAACGAGTTGAAACAAATTTGTACAAAGAATGTATAATCTCAGCCATCTTAGCAGCTACTAGTGAAGAATGAAGAACATTGACTTAAGATGTTCATTTCTAGCCTTGTGCCAAAATTCAGCATTGGTGGAACCCAAGGTTACTCCAAACCTCTACACATAGCTCTCTCAAACAAAGTACAATGAATAGCTATGAGATACTTGCGCAATGCTCTTCACTAAAAATGTTACTGATTTCTGGAAAGTACTAGCTGAAGTCCTCTTTTTCTTTTACTAGTATTTTTTAAATCTTCTACTTTAACTTATTTTTAACTCATATCACTATATTTATGGGAGTTAGATCTGTGAAGATATGAGGGCTGTTGTAAGCTTGCTGTATCTATAAAATCTTCTTTTACTGGATTTATAAACTTATTTTCATATAACAGATGTAAGCAACATTTGATGACCAAAGGCTGTCCTTAACATGGAGAAAAAGCCCTCAAACTGATAGAATTACATCACATAAAATGTAGGGACTGATTCTTAAAGGGCGAGTGGCATCTCTATTTTATTTTATTTTAACTTTGATATGCCGGATTTAAACCTCACATGGAAGTTAGACAACACTAACTTATCATGACATGACCATGACATTGGACTCATTTGAGCAAATTAATGGGAAAACACTAATCAGAATTCTTGAGAAAAAGCCCCCTCCTTGCACCTACACAATAATTCTTTAACAATTTCATCCTTCCTCTTATCCACAGAAGAAATAGTCAATATTGTATTAATGCTAAAATAGCATTTTCCTTTTTGTTTCTACTGAAACCACATTGAAGTTTCTTATCCTACCTCCAACATGGGCCGAGCACTGTCATGGATTGAAAGAATGTGTGTAATATTGTTCTGTTTTAGTTGTTCAGTGTCACGAGCATCTGCAACAAAGAGGAGACAAGGAAATAAAATCAGCAGCTGTACTTATCTGGCTTCTTGTAAGCATCCAAGAAATATTGAGATATCTTTCTCTAGTATAACCTACCGCTGTGGATAGTTATGAAAGTAAAATATGGAAGTATCATCCTAACCTATTACGGTCATGGAAGATGAACTCAAAATATAATTTGGAGGTGTTTTGATGTTTTGATTCTATGAAATTAATAGAATCAGAAAACATGATTTATTATAAGGTTTGCCACCATGATGTAGCTGGATTCTAGAATCATTAAAGGTGACCTGAAATGTTTTGAATTTCACATACTTATTTGCAAAATATTCTTTGTCTTATGAAGAAGGTCAACATTTACAGTTAATTGAACAAATGCATTCAATTTATCCCTTCATCACACTTCTCTACAACAGAAAAAGCTGCTTAAACATAGATAGTCAAGAGAATTTATTTTCTGCAAAAGGGAAAATCCCAGGCTTCTCCCATTACGAACGACTAGCACAAAACAACTGGTTGATAACCATGTTAATCCCTGAAGCAAAATAATCTGATTAAAAAAAATAGCAAAAGATTAAAAAGATCAAAGAATAACATTTATTTTCAAAATTAGTATCATGTGACTTTTATGTCTTGAGGGGGAAACAAATCTAGATTAAGACCCAGTTTAATAGCTTGCCTGGTGTAGCTATTGGAGAGAAAAAAAAGAAAGAAAGCTATATCAACATTAATTCTAAAGAAATTGGAAAGTTTCCCCTGCAATATTTTAGAGCAGTATTTCTCAACCCCAGCAATTTCAAAATGTATGGACTCTTAACTTGGAATTCAGACATCTTAAATTTGCTGAGATTGTAAAGCATTGCTCGAGGGGTTGGGATGGGTGCAGCTTCTGTGGGAATTTGTTTATTTTTTTACTAGGATTATAGGTATGAACGATTCTGAGCAGCCTAGAAAGCTAAAGATAATCATACGGTTACAACACAAATCAAAATTGAATTAGGATCATCAGCTCCTTCTTGAACAGATCAAGCCATTTCGACATCACTATTCCTCCCAGGAGGAACCATTTTACACATTAGATTCCCAAAGATTTGCTGGAAGCCTTAACTGCTTTGGAAAGCTCAGAAAGAATGGGGTTTGCTCGTTCTTCAGGGGAACATTATAGAAAAAAACATGCGAGAGTTACAGAGAAGGCCCAAGGTCCCTGCAGATAGAACTCTCTCCAGGCAGGAAGCCAGAGGGAGCTTTCACAGTTTCTAGCTCTTACTAGAAAGATATAATACATTGGACAGCCCCAAAGATAAGCTAAGAAGAGATTTAAGAGCAGTATTTTGTATTGTGCATGGAAACTAATTGATAAACAATGCAATTCTTGAAGCAATTGGCATTGGTATTCATAAATGTCCAAGCTGATGCATTCTGGGGCAGCAAGAACTTTCAAATAGTCTTCAAGGATGATCCTACATGCAGCACATTGAAGAATCCAAGGAAAAAGTGACTAAGAAATGAATAATCATAAGCAAAGTTTTCTGATCTGGGAAAGGCTGCAACTGGCACCAGGATGGAGCTGGCCAAAAGCCCCTCTAGCCACAGCTGCTTGTTCCTTGAGCAAAAACTCAAAAAATACAGAAAAATCTGCTCAGATCCAAACCAAAAATGGAACACAGGTCATTCTTGACTTACAACCACAATTGGAACCAGAATTTTGGTTGCTAAATGATGCAGTGAGTAATCACATGACCAGATCCAATGTTATTATGTTTTATCCATTGATATTAATAGCAATAGCATCTTTATACCGCTTCATAGTGCTTGGACAGCCCTCTAAGCAGTTTACAGAGTCAATTTATTGCCCCCAACGATCTGGGTCCTCATTTTACCAACATCGGAAGGATCGAAGGTTGGTCAGGATTGAAAGAATTGAACTCCTGGCAATGTGAGCAGAGCTAGCCTGCAATACTGCATACTAACCACTGTGCTACCATGGCTCTATATTAAAGGAAGCACATGTTGTTAAGTGGATCACCTTAAGTAAATTTGGCTTCTCCAATCGATGTTGTTTGTTGAAAACTGGCCGGGAAGTTCACAAACCGTGATTACGACTGCAAGATACTGCAACCATTATAAATGCAAGCTGTCTGCCGAGTGCCCAAATTGCAATCAGGTGACTGCAGGGGTGCAGCAATAGTTGTAACTCTGAGGCTGGGCTGTAAGTAACTTTTTCTAAGGCTTTCATAATTTCAAACTGTTGTTGAATGAACAATCATAAATTGAGAACTAGTAGATTGTCACACACAAAGCTACATTGCCATGCTGGGATTGAATTATATACAGACCATAATACGCTTCACTCAACGGGAGAGAAAGAACTTTAAATACAGTTCCAGTTCAATATGTGTACTTGGGTATCAGCTGTGTATTTAATTTAAACCTTAAGGATAACCTTCTATTTCATACAGATTTACAAATAGAATATTAATCTTAATATCTAATAGGAAAGTGTGTTAATCCTGATATTCAATATTGGATTGATAAAACAAATAACATATCCATATATTGGCTATTTGGGGAGGAGGGAGTGCAAAAATATTTTATCTTTACTTTCAAGTTATTTATATATTACCTCTGTAGGAATGGCTCAGAACATCTCAAGGTCCGTTTTATACAACACAAGTAGCAAGACTTTATTAAGTGCTGACTTTTGCATATAGCCACAAACAGTTCTTTTTTTTTTTTTTGAAAAAAAAAATAAAGTTATATTTTGGTCTTTGTAACTACAGAAGGAAAGATTTAAGAACCAAAATGAGAAACAGATACCAGATCTTGGTTTCATGACACTTGAGTGCCTCTGTTTTTAAGCTCATATTGCAAAGCAAATTTCTTCACAGTATGATTCTGCTAAGTTTCAGGTGAGATTGTGTGCATCAATCTATTTTCCGTTTCTTACAGACACAAGCCTTCATCTCCCCTCTGTTGATAAATCCAGATCACCTATCTCCCATTTGATGAAATTTTTTAGCTTTACAAAAGTGTTCATATTATTTTCCATTCTATCGCCTATACTCTAACAAACATCTAAGCAGAATTCTTAACGAGAGGGAAGGCCGTGATTCAGCAATTATGTTAATCATTCTGATGTCATTCATACAAAATGTAATGCATTTGAGGGGGTGAGTTTCTGATGAAAGAGGAACACTATGTTGAAGTCTGCTTGGAAGCGATGCACTCTCTCACCCAACCCGAGATGCGCTATTTTAACATCATGGAATTGTGCTTTTTTCAAAGTAACAGTCTACAATTCTGTTTCTCTTCATTATATGACTAACCTTCAAAGGGTACACCAGAGGTCTCCAAACTTGGCAACTTTAAGACTTGTGGACTTCAACTCCCAGAATTCTCCAGCCAGCTATGCTGGCTAGAAAATTCTGGGAGTTGAAGCCCTCAAGTCTTAAAGTTGCCAAGTTTGGGGACCCCTGGGTTACACTGATGTAACATTGAACAATTTCTCTGATGTAACATTGAATAATTTTTCAGCAAAAAGGGTAAAGGGTATGTCATTTCATTTTTGTCTCAAAATCAAAAGAGGAATGCTGAAACAAATGGGAAATGCTTCTATATTTCTTTTAACAGACAAAGCATGTGGGACCGGCTCAAATTATGAAACCACAACTTAACTGAATTAAAGTAGTTTTGGTCCCTTCACCTTCTTCCCTACAGCTTTCGCTTCTATTCTCAATCAGATCTGGATGAAGAGGTCTGTCAAAACCCTAAACCATGAGGAATATTAAATACAGCCAGTTGCAACAAACTAGCTTCATAAGCCAAAGTTTGAAGTTGTTTTACTGGAGTAAATGATATTTAAATTTAACCAATCTTGTCCAGAGTTTGACCATAAAGGACATTAAAAAGACAGTATTCCTCAGAGATGACTGGAGAAACTGAAGAGAGAAGGCTGGGTAGGATGCATTTTCTGACTGCTGTTTCTGATATTCACAGAAGAAATGAAACTACCTTTTAATGGAAACTATAAAGTGAAATTATTTTCCTTCCTACATGACTTTTGTGATGGTGCAATGTTCAAAGGAGCTTACAGGAATGTGGGTTTCTACCTATTTAGATTTTTCAGGTTCTGGAACTCAGTGAAATAGAAACTATTTGGCTGGGCAAAGGGACAACCTGGAAATGTCAAACATCCACTAGGACAGGGGTCCCCAAACTTGACAACTTTAAGATGTGTGGACTTCAACTCCCATGCTGGCTGGGGAAATCTGGGAGATGAAGTCTAGAAATCTTAAAGTTGTCCAGTTTGGAGACGCCTATTCTATAGGCAAAAGTTTAGACAGCCCTGCTATAGAATATTAGCCCTTGAAGCTAAGATTGTTTTTAATTTTATATTTGTTATTTAAAACTGCTTGTAAAACCAATCAGAAGAGCACTCATATTTCTTTCAAGTAAGTCAAACTGAGCTACTGTTTCTTGGGAGGAGTAAGCAAAACTTCTAAGGCAGGGGTGTCAAACTCAATTTCATTGAGGGCCTCATCAAAGTTGCATATGACCTGGGGGGGCCAGGGTGGGTGTGGCTAGGGTAGGCATGGCCAGCTCAATGTTACTTATTGGGGAGGGGGGGGCACCTGTGGTTGACCCAAGCACTCTGCCAGAGAAAACGGGCTTCCAAGCTACAATTTTGGCTGCAACAACCTCCTGTAAACCTCTGCCAGCAAAAAATGTAGTTCATAAGGGCTGTGCATGGCCCTCCCGAGCTCCATTTTAGCTGGCAGAGGCACCACGAGCCAGTCCTTCACTGTTTCCAGGGCGGCCCCGTGGGCCAGATTTAAGCAATCCGCAGGCCAGATCTGGCCCCTGGACCTTGCGTTTGACACCCCTGTTCTAAGGGGACACAGAGCTGTCACTTTCCAAGGGGTGGGCTTCAGCCGATTCGCACCAGTTCAGGAGAACCAATAATTAACTTTCTGAGCAGCTATAGTTTTTCTCACCTTACATGGTTAATCCTGTCAGGAAGGTAGGAAGGAGGCATTCTGGTGTGCCCCTGTGTGTTGTTTCTAGCCTAATCCTGCTTATATTAATTGCCCTGCTTAAGCGTTTTCAGAAACTGCCTCTACTGTTAAGCCTTGTTACATTGTTAACAGCTTAATGGTTCTTGGCAATATGTCCAGACTTTCTACAGCAGCTCCTCTGGAGTTTTTTCCCTCCTTTGCTGGTACTTTTATTCTTGATTTTCTTAAAGGGGAAAAGCTTGACTTTCTTAAAGGGAAAGAGTTGTTTAAAGCTTTTTACACTGCTTTAGTGGTTCCTGGCACAGTCCTTTTGGGGTGTACTTCTAACACGGCTGAATACTCTCCCAGCCACTCATTGCCTGTCCCCAATTAAGGATGGGAGGGGGTAATCGCAGGCCTATTTCTTCTTTGGATCCTTAACCTTCTCTAAATGGAGCGATCTGACTAGTCTTTGGGAAGAGGCTTCAGGAGGTCTTCCCCCACCCCATCGGAAAGCAATGAGGTAATCTTTTTGGACTGCCGCTACCTGCCTGATCGAGTTAAGCAATGGCTGAGAGGCAGGATGTAAGCTTGGTACTCTGATTTTTTTACTGCCTTTCTGGGGGCATGTTATCTTTCCTTAAATCTGGATGATTCCTTGGGATATCTTGTGAGGTGAGTGAGACCAGCTGGTATCTTTAAGTTGTGCAAATGGATCTAAGGAATGCTTCTTCTGCGTGGAAAAGGGTGCTTTGTCAATTCACTGAGCACAGGAGTCTCTTGTCTATAGGGATTCTTCAGTCATCCAGGTCATGGTTGTCCCAAAGGTGCTTTTTTCAAGAGGCAACTGGACTTTCTTGGTTTCCAGAAAGTCCAGTTGCCTCTTGAAAAAGCACCTTTGGGACAAGGGTCTTTTGCATTGCTTCAGAGTGGTCAAAGCACATGATTGCTCACTGATAATAAGATTTAAAAACAAAATGGACATAGGGGTCCTCCCTCCAATTCATTTTAATTTTCTCTCATGATAATAAGGCTTAGTAACATGGCACCAGGCTTGAAGTTTATTTAGATATCTGTGGCGTCAGAGATGGTATTCAGCAGGTTCTGACCAGTTCTGGAGAACCTGTAGTGGAAATTTTGAGTAGTTCGGAGAACCAGCAAATACCATCTCTGACTGGAGATTTTACAGTATCCTTTCCCCTGCCACGCCCACCAAGCCATGCCCACAGAACCGGTAGTAAAAAAATTTTGAATCCCACCACTGTGTGGTATTTTATTAATTATATAATTTTATTATGATCCTGAAAATGAGGCTTGGGAGGGCAGAAACGTGAACCTGGGGCCCCTATGTACTTTGTTAATTTGTCTCTCTAGCTCAGCATTTTGTAGCCCACCCACTTTCTGGAGAGCTTAAATGACCTCTGTGCTAAAGGGTTTTACTTTGTGAGCAAGAGGTGACTGCTGATAGTTATCATTGCATTTAAACTATTTTAATTTCTCAAGGTGCTCCGGCACCCTGCCTGATTTGTAACTCCAGATTGCAGGTATTGCTGATGAAAAGGGAAGGTATCCGGACAGAATGGTTTAAGTTTCCATAATGGCTGTGACCGTCATTAATCTTCAGTGTGTATTCCCCCATTTCTAATCTAATCAGGTATTTAGGGCAGCTTTTTGCAAGCAAAGAAGCTTTTGTATGTTTGAACAGGTAATCCTTGATTTACAACAGTTCATTTAGTGACCAAAGTTACAATGGCATTGAAAAGTGACTTACGACCATTTTTCACCCTTACGACCATTGCAGCATCCCCATGGTCATGTGATCAAAATTCAGTTGGTTGACAACTGTCTCACTTTATGACGGTTGTAGTCTCCCAGGGTCACATCATTCCCTTTTGCAACTTTCTGACAAGCAAAGTCAATGGGGAGGCCAGATTCACTTAGCAACCGTGTTACTAACTTAACAACTGCAGTGATTCGCTTAACAAACGTGGCAAGAAAAGTTGTGAAACGGGGCAAAATTCACTTAATAAATTTCTTCACTTAGCAACATAAATTTTGGGCTCAATTGTGGTCATAAGTCAAGGAGAGGGCGGGCAAGGCGAAGCCAGGTGTGACAAGGAGTGGCTGGGAGGGGAAGGGAGGGGTGAGGCAGGGCCAGACACGACGAGGAGAGACTGGGCGAAGTGAGGCGCCCCCTCAACATTAGAGACGTCAAGTTGGCCACGCCCACCCAATCACATGACCACCCAGTCACGCCTACCCAGCCGGTCATTAGGGCAGAGAACCGGTTGTTAAATTATTTGAATCTCATCACTGAAACCCTCCCCCCAATGCTGGGGATGTAAATGCATAGTACTTTGCAATAGCCACTAATAAAACTCATCTTACCTTTATCATTTCCAAGGAACAAGCCAGGAAGTATCTGTGAGAGGAACAAAATAACATCAAATACCAATCTTTTGTGGTAATATGGTATGACGCAGCTCGATTTGCATACAGAATGGAATATGATACTATTCAAGAACAGTTTAAAGGTTTACATGCTACTTCTTGTTGCATTCCCACACTGCTTTACACTTAAATGGCATGTTTTAGATCTTTCAGTTACAATGTCCTGTAATTTAAGAACAGTAGAAAGAAATAATTCTCCAAACATGGATATACAACCTGGTGCCTTCTAGACCAGGGGTCTCCAACCTTGGCAACTTATGGACTCCAACTCCCAGAGTTCCTCAGCCAACAAAGCTTACAGTTGCCAAGGTTGGAGACCCCTGATCTAGATTGTAAAAGGTTGTAAACTCACTTAACAAGTGTCTTGCTAGATGTTCTACAGTTCAAAACATCCCAGGGTTAGAAGATTACTAATCAAACAGAATACTTGTAGCTTAGAGTTCAACAGCTCAATAATTAGATGATTAATTGCTCTGCCTCTAAATGGACATGTTATTTCTAAATTGGTTTGCTTATATATTTCTGGACTCTATATAGTATAAGAATTCTTAGAACAAGACAAGCAGAGGTAACTGGGAGCTGTTTTATCCGTTTTATTCTTGGTTTTACCCACCACAGCAATCCATTTTGTGAAAAGGCAAATTGCCTCATTGTTCATAACACACTCACAAAATTTTAAATGAGCCGACTGACTCCAAAAGGTGGCAACCCATGATGTGAGGTACCGTAATAGATGCTTCCAGTTTTTCCAATATATAGGTATTCCTTGATTTATGGCCACAACTGAGCTCAAAAATTCCACTGCTAAGCAAGACACTTGTTAAGTGACTTTTGCTCCATTTTGTCACCACAGTTTTGTCACTACAGTTGTTAAGTGAAACACGACAGTGATTAAATTAATAATAAAGTTGTTAAAGGAATGTGGCTCTTCCCTCACTGACTTAGCTTGCTGGAAGCCAGCTGGGAAGGTTACAAATGGTGATCAGATGAGTCACTAAAGAAATGGCTGTAAGTCAAGGACTACTTATATCATCTAGAAGTCTAGCGTGCTGGATGTTGCTTACAAAAATCACCGAAAATAACATTGGAGGATGTGCCCCCAGGCACACTGAATTTATTTATTTCTTGGACTTGTATGCCGCCCATCTTGCCTAGAGGTTACCACGCTCCGATTTCTGATTTTGAAATGTTGGCAGGCATAGAAAAGCCTGAACTCAAAGGGAAACCAAGGACAAAAAAACCCCCCACCCCATCAGCTTTGAAGAGATCCTTCTTTAACCCAACATACCAAAAAGCCTACCACCTTCCACAAAAAACACTGTCAAGTTTTAGCTTGCCAGTCATGATCTTTCCTAGGTCGGCTCCTTTGACAATGGAAAAGGAGGAGGCAGGAAACTCATTTCAGGAATGCACCTCATACAGGATATCTGAGGTAGGCCGTTTGCTGGGAATGTTACGTCTTGTAGATTTTGATAAGTCAGCGACATGTGGCAAATGCCTGTGTAAAAGCAGTAGGAGATTTTATTCGGTTTTACTTTGTTGTTGTTTAACAACTACTAAACTGCCAGCAGAATCGTTCCTCGGATTGTCAGCTATTCAGCTATTAAAAATCTCCCTCTGAGGAAGTCAGCAAGCATACGATGGCCTGTTTATTTACAAATAATAACACTTTTAATAATAACCCATTTAGCTCTCACGTCTGCCATTTCTACTACCACAAAAACAGCTCTTAAGGAAGACTGGTCCCATCATACTTTTAATACAAAACACTGCTAAAATGTTTGGCACGCGTTTTTTTTTAAAGGACCTTGTTAGCAATCTTAAATTCCTTTACCGCATCCTTGCCATTCTTTTTTCTTGAGCAAGGCTTACTATGGGGGTCGCTTCCACATTCTCATGCCATAGTGTGCCTGGAGACAAGAACCCTACAATCTTTTGAAGAAACTAGAACAGGAAAAAGGTCCTTTGAACAAAAAAACCCAACCCCTTATATGTTATGTTACAATGCCAAAGAATAATAATAAGCAAATGCAGATACTAACATGTAGGTATTACAGCAATATCCAAATATCACTTTAGATTAAATGAGCAATATCAAGGTACTTCAATACATCAATAGCAGGACTTCTGTATTCCCCCAGTTAAGTGAACTAGAGCTAGATACTATGAAAAGATTTCTAATTTCTCCTTATCCTGTAATAATAAAAATATTAGGTAAAGGTAAAGGTTCCCCTTGCACATAAGTGCTAGTCGTTTCTGGCTCTAGGGGGTGGTGCTCATCTCCGTTACAAAGCCGAAGAGCCAGCGCTGTCCGAAGATGTCTCCGTGGTCATGTGGCTGGCATGACAAAATGTCAAAGGCACATGGAACGTTGTTACCTTCCCACTAAAAGTGGTTCCTATTTTTCTACTTGCATTTTGACATGCTTTCGAACTGCTAGGTTGGCAGAAGCTGGGAGAAGTAACGGGAGCTCACCCCATTATGCAGCGCTAGGGATTCGAACCGCCAAACTGCCAACCTTTCTGATCAACAAGCTCAACTTCTTAGTCACTGAGCCACCATGTCCCTAATAAAAAGGATTACAGTGACTCATAGTTCCAATTGATAACTATTTTTACACTGATCCAATCCTAATGAGCAGATTTGGAAATTGAAGACATGGACAACCAAGGGACCATACTGATTGTCTTATGAGCATAATGCAGTAAGGGCCAAAAATATGTCCCTTTACAAATTTGGGATCCTAGTAGTGCTTCAGATATAGCTGAAGCCCAAACCAGCATGACCAATTATGAGACCTCAGAATTCTAGATGAATGACACCAGTTTTCACTTCACTAAACAATTTTACTGTTAATATTGACTTTCATAACAATTCTGACAAAGTTCATCAGAGGTACTTACTACTTCATCATGTGTGCAATTCCATTTCTGAGGATTCTAAGCAGCTTAGATATAATAAATATAACATTAAAAACCAACAATCAATATAAACAGCAAGAGAGCTCTAATTTGACATCTTTTGTTAGACAGCAAGGTCTTCAAGTATCTCCAAATGTTTTCCCAAAGATCTGGAGTTGCAAGACAGTAATGACAGGTAAAACCAAATACTGGGGGGCGGGGGGGTGAGAGGGGGAAAGTAGGGGTGTTGGCTGTCCCAATCCAACAGAAGGGATACAAATAATGTGGTCATATGTAGGACTTTGTACTAGAACTTCTAATCTCGTGTATATCTCTGTATTACCAAACCAAACTAGGATTAGCCAAATTGGAGAGTGATCATACTGAAGAAAATATCTTTAGGTGGTTACTAAAAGTTAGCATTGACTTGGTGACACATAATCCAATCAAACTATAAAGATTTAATATACTAGGACTCTACCATTATTTAACTCTACCAGTTTTCCTGTCCTATCTGATTTTTTTAAAAAAAATAGCTGTAGAATACGGGTGTCAAACTCAAGGCAGCAGCCCATACCTGGCACAAGGGGTGTTTAGATCTGGCCCACAGGGCCACCCTGGAAACAGCGAAGGACTGGCCCACAGTGCCTCTACCAGAGAAAACAGAGCTTGGGAGGGCCGTGTGTGGTTCCCCCGAGCTGTTTTCAGCAGTGATGGCCTCCTGCAGCTCTCTGCCAGCGAAAACAGAGCACACAGCCCTTCCAAACTCCGTTTTCACTGGCAGAGTGCTAGCAAAACAAACTACTAGCAAAAGTGGGTCCCTCCAGCCTCGCCCAGGCCACCACAGGCGCCTCCGACACGAGTGACATCGAGCTGGCCATGCCCAACCTGGACACATCCACCTGGACACCTCCCCCCCGATGTCAAACACAACCCTGATACAGCCTCAATGAATCGAGTTTGACAACCCTGCTGTAAAATGTTGCAAAATAAAGTACTAATCTCCCGTATCACTTTATTTGCAAAGAATGCGTGACACAGAAATTCTTGGAAAATAAAAAACCATGCGTGGCTGCAGGTCAATGTTTGCTTGGATGTGTGCCCACCTACCCAGATATTGTTTTTAAGCAAATGTAAGATGGGGGTAGGAGAAAGCTTCCTGTACAGTGTACATTGTACAGTGTAGAGAAATCACATTTGAAACTTGGATTTACTCAGAAGTTTGAGACATTTAGTTCACTGAGAATAAGGCAAGTGGAACTATAAAAGGACTCTGTTATTATTTGAAACGTTCCTTCCACTGAAGAGCATGTTTGCTCTACCAACCCCTTTTCCAACACCTGGGTTTAAGGTCTTGCCTGAGAAATGCTAACTGAGACCTCTGCAACTTCCTTTCATGCAAGATTAAAGCAGAAAACTTTAACAAGAATTTTGTGTGTTTTCCATCATGAAAACAACGTAGAAGTTATAAACTACTCAGTTGTTTTTTTTCTTTCTTTTCCTCAAAAGGAATATGAGTGATATTTTTTGCTGCAGCAGGACCCACGGTAGGACAACTGATGTTCACTTATTCTCAAGTATCGCAGTTGAGCTACAAAATGTTTTTGATGAGGGTTGAGGAAATGAAAATGATGATGGTATGGAAGAACCCTTACGTCTTTTAAGAATAATAATTTGGGTGTATTTATGTACGTATTTCCTGCTTTTGCATTACAATCGAAATGGGAAACATTTATAATGTGTTATCATACTTAATGTAATTTAAAGCCTGCTCATAAGTAAACACCGCCGTTAGGAAATTTTAGAGAATATAAGAGGCTGGTTTTGGCTGGAAGCTATGAATCAGCCTTCACTTCGAAAGACAGCAAAATACAGATAAGAAGATGCCCAGCTCAGAATTGCAAAAGGAAAAAAAAAGAGAATGATGAGTTAGTTTGAAGAGAGAAATGACATACGATTAAAATATCTAATAAATATTTGTGTATAGGGCAATTGGGAAATGACAGTAAATCAGTAATGGAGCACATTTTGGTACATAGCATAAAATAGCCCCAAGTCTGATGTTTGCTTG